GTAACATTAAGTTACATGACTTTGACTTCCAGGTCTAAAAAGGACACAAAGTCCTTCTAAATCGTAAACACTGACTGCAATTAAAGCCTCATTTTCAGGCCCCATAGAAGATGTCAATTAAGGCTGGCATGGTGGCTCATGCCCATAATCCCAGCGCTCTGGGAGGCTGAGGAAGGCAGATCACCTGAGGTCAGGAGTTCAAGACCAGTCTGGCCAACATGGCGAAACCTGGTCTCTACTAAAAATACAAAAATTAGCTGGGTGTGGTGGCCGGCACCTGTAATCTCAGCTACTTAGGAGGCTGAGGCAGGAGAATTGCTTGAACCTGGGAGGCACAGGTTACAGTGAGCCAAGATTGCACCACTGCACTCCAGCCTGGGCAAAAGAGGGGGATTCCATCTAAAAAACACTAAAGATCCCAGTCAAAATAAACTGCATTCCTGAGACACATAGGACCAGAAATTAAAGCTATTCAACTCCTCAAGGCCCAGGGTCTATTGCAGAAGAGGTGAGAGTGTGAAATTATAAGGACCAATTTTAAGAGATAAAATAAATTCAGTTTCTCTATAAATTAACCATTAATGTCAAAGATACACTGATGCAAGACTAGCATATGGGCCCCTTTGTCAGATTAACAAGGTTTTCTTGAAGCATTAACCAACTCCTTAACAAAGGTTATAAAAGGGTTATGGAAGCTACATCTTATGATCAAGGCTAAAATTTTATAATTGCTTATAAAATTTTGAAAAAATTAATTGGCCTCATGCTGTTTTCATTAGGGCTTATCATTTGGAAAATTAAGTCTTATCTCTCAAAGAAGGAAGGTTTTTGGTAAACAAATCCTTGAGTTATCACTTTGGTTAAATGCATGACTTATTTTACAAGACCTGTAATCCTATTTTGTGTTATCAAGTGTTTCAAACCTTTGATATTTGACAAACTTTCCAAAATCAAATTATAAACTGTCTTTTTCTGACCTAATTAATTCTTTAAGATATTACTAATAGGTTCCCTAAAGTCCAAAAAATGACATAGTTGGCTTATTTATTTGGCATATAAATGCTACAGGAAGCATTGTCAAATATGTCATGGTGTTTGGTTTTCTCTGGGCTGTATTTGTTTAAATATATTATTGGTATGTATTACAAAATTATGGAAAACTCGTATAATTCTTATATGACAGTGTACATTATCAGTAATAATTATAATTGTTATGTTAAATTATTGTGTGCCACAGAGGTACAAATTTACTTGTCAATTGTGTCTTTGACTACGGCTGCCCTAAAACATTTTGTCATCCACAGACAATTGTTGTCTTCTGTTGGTCCTCTTAGAAGGTGGTTTTATTATTGGCTATACAACTCTAACAGGTGATCTTGAATACAGGTTTCTGATAACTTTGAAGACTGTGACATCCGAATAGAGGAAAACTTTCATGACTAATGGAGAGCTGAAATGTTCATGAATACCAAACATAACAAAAATTATCTACATGGACTAAGCTAATAGAAGTCTAAAGTAATCTTTTAAACTAAAACATTGCTGATCCTTTGTTTTGTTTTTCAGAGTCAAGAAAACTTTTAAGCTATTTACAACTTTTAACAATTAAGTAAAATATACTCCTATGAACAAAAGGTGGAGTATATTTGTTTTCTCTCTACTTGATTTCTACAGAATTTGGAAACTATTTGTGAGCATTATTAACTCATGACAATACACTTATTTGCATAAGTGCAACAAGAATCTGTTTTCATTTGTAACAGGACAAAACTGGAGAAACTGGTTATTTTACCAAGGCTTTGACTGGAATGGTGTACTTTCCTTTAAGGAATCAAACTTGACTTATGGAGCCAATGAAAGCCCTTGGGAAAACTGGCCTCATCCTTGTCTACACAGTATAATGTGGCCTATATCAATTTTTCAGGATTATTCTTTAGTTTACTGTTTTTCTCCCTTCCTCGTCCTATTGTCATAGGACATGAGACTTCACAACCTGCTGCTAATGAGCTTTCCTAATAACTCAGCACCTACCTGTCTAGAAATAAACCATTCTAAGCCATGAGAGATCTGATGAAACCCGAGCCCAGAGACTCATTTTCTTCTAAAGCGTCTTCTCAAAAAAAATTTTTTTTTTTTTTTTTTTTTTTTGAGACGGAGTCTCACCCTGTCACCCAGGCTGGAGTGCAGTGGCTGGATCTCAGCTCACTGCAAGCTCTGCCTCCCGGGTTTACACCATTCTTCTGTCTCAGCCTCCCGAATAGCTGGGACTACAGGCGCCCGCCACCTCACCCGGCTAGTTTTTTGTATTTTTTAGTAGAGAGGGGGTTTCACCACATTAGCCAGGATGGTCTCGATCTCCTGACCTCGTGATCCGCCCGTCTCAGCCTCCCAAAGTGCTGGGATTACAGGCTTGAGCCACCGCACCTGGCCTCAAAAAAATTTTTAAAAAGAAAAGGGGGGAAATGTGAAAGGAAAAAACTTATTGGGGCCCCCAAATCACTAAATTAAAGGAAAAAGTCAGACTGGGAACTGCTTAGGGCAAACCTGCCTACCATTATATTCAAATTCATCTCTCTGCTCACTGAGATAAATGCATATCTGATTATCTCCTTTGGAGAGGCTAATCAGAAACTCAAGAAAAAGCCACCATTTGTCTCTTAGCCATCTATGACCTGGAACACCCCTTCCTGCATTGAGTTCAACACCCCTACCTTGCTTCAAGTTGACCTGCCTCTCCAGACAGAACCAATGTTCATCTTGTATATGTTGATTGATGTCTCATGTCTCCCTAAAATGTTTAAAACCAAGCTGTGCTCTGACCACCTTGAGCACATGTGTTCAGGACCTCCTGAGGCTGTATCACAGACATGCATCCTCAACCTTGGCAAAATAAACTTTCTAAATTGAGACCTGTCTCAGATTTCCAGGGTTCACAGCAGTAAGCAGAACAGCCAGTTTCCTCTCAACTTAGCCTTAGCAGGAGGAACCTCTGTGTCTGGAAGCCTTTCTCAACTTGAATCATTTTGTCTCCACTAGTTCGTGAGTATTTTGAGACTAGGAGTTATGAGTTATTATTCATCTTTGGAGCTGCAGTGCCTAGCACGTTGCCTGATATGGGGGCAGATTTGATAAATGTTTGATGGATAAACAAATGAATGCAAGTGATTCCTGAAGCCCTTTACGTCTAATAAAGAAAACATAAAAATGTCAAGAAGACCACTTGTTTTAGCAGGACATTCTCAATTTTATATCATAAAAATGCAACTTAAATTTGCTGAGGCAAAAGAGGGCATTTATTTGCTGATAAATGGCAAACCCAGCTGTGCAGAATCCCAGAACTCAACCCATGTAGTTAGGCCTTTATCTCTTTCTTTAGTTCCCAGCTCAGTTTGTCTCATCTTGGTTTCGTTCTTAACTCAGGAACTCTCCACATGACAGACAAGATGGTCCACCAGTACCCCCAGGTTCATATCCCATTTTTAGCATCCCAGCAGTGGCCATACATTTACAGAGAAGACTCTGATGGCCCTGTCTGCCCATCCTTGAACCAAATACTTTGGTTGGCAGACAGGGTACTTCAAATGAACAGCATGGTTGACAAACCCACCCCAAGCCAGTCAGCAGGGTACCACTATTACCGGCCTCACCAGGAGCACATTGGAATTGGCAAGAAATCTCCTTTAGAAACCAGAAGAAGATTGGAAAGTACAGTGGATTACGATAATCTTCTATGTCTTCCTTTTTTTCTTTCTTTCTTTCTTTTTTTAAAACAGAGTCTCATTCTGTCACCCAGTCTGGAGTGCAGTGGCACAGTCACGGCTCACTACAACCTCTGCCTCCTGGACTCAAGTGATCTTCCTGCCTTGGCCTCACGAGTAGCTAGTACTACAGACATGGGCCACCATGCCCAGGCTAATTTTTGTATTTTTTGTAGAGATGGGGTCTCAGTATATTTGTCCAGGCTGGCCTCAAACTCCTGGGCTCATGCAATCCACCTGCCTCGGCCTCCCAAAGTGCTGGGATCACAAGTGTGAACCATCACGCCCGGCCTTTCTAGGTCTTTCTATCTTCCTGCTCCACCATCCTTACTTAGCATGATGGTTTTTTCATTCATTTATGTAACTTAATATATGCAAGACATACGCCACAGATCTGGACAGAATAAATGTTTTCAAGGCAGAAAGAAAGGGGGAGGGGTAGTCCCAGCCTTAGCTGTCTTTTTTATGAGGAAAGCAAAAACTTTTCCAGAAACACCTCAAAAAGACTTCCCCTATAATATCACTGGCCAGCACCGGGTCACACTGCTACCCCTTGTGGCAAGTGAAGCTAGAAATTCTAGTTTTGACAAAGTGAAATAGAATTTCATGACTAGTTTGGGCCAAAACTGATTGTCCCGCCCCTCCATCGACCTCTCCTGGGGGCTAATTACACTTGCTCTGAGCCCCCAGAGCACGCTGGGCCTCTCTGATCCTAACGGCGTATGAATTGTGCAGCAGTTGCTCATTTTTTGCAGCCCCCACCCCTTACTAGGATTTCTCTTTCTTTTTTTTTTTTTTTAAGACGGGGTCTCGCTCTGTCCCCCAGGCTGGAGTGCAGTGGCGCGATCTCTGCTCACTGCAAGCTCCGCCTCCCGGGTTCACGCCATTCTCCTGCCTCAGCCTCTTGAGTAGCTGGGACTACAGGCGCCCGCCACCGTGCCCGGCTAATTTTTTTTTTTTTTTGTATTTTTTTTAATAGAGACGGGGTTTCACCGTGGGCTCAATCTCCTGACCTTGTGATCCGCTCACCTCGGCCTCCCAAAGTGCTGGGATTACAGGCGTGAGCCACCGCTCCCGGCTCTTGCTAGGATTTCTAAAGAGGTGCCCACAACCTTGTATCGCCAGCACTTAGCAGTGCCTAGCTTCGTTCCACCAGTTTCTTTGAGTGACTGCCATGCGCGAGGCCCTGTGCAAATAAGCAGGCGATTGGTGAACATTTCCTGGATGGATGGATGGATGGACAGGTGGGTGGATAGATGGATGGATATCATCACTGTGCGGTGGTTCCCATCAGGGTAGCCTGAGTCTCCCCACCCCCTCCCCTCATCCCTCTCACTCCAGGCTGTCATTTCACTTTCCTAAAAGCCTTCCCTTTGCCCATGATGCCAGTGACTAGCTGTCCTGAAGCAATAGCTAGTACTTTCCCTCCTTCCTGCCACCTAGCATCCAGCCGAACCTTGAATCAATACCAGTAAAATGGGTGTGAACGGAAGGAGGCTGCTCATTATTTGCCATTATTTACCTCTGAGTCTGTGCATTCCCATTCCTTCCCATATTAATTCTCTCCCCGCGCAGCTCCCCCTCCCCTTCTCTCTCCTTGGGAACTGGTTCAACCAGAGTACAACCAGCTCATCTGCATCTGGCCCTAAAGAACCTGCGGGAGCCAGAGGCAGAGGAAGAGAGAAGTCTGCATAGGAGCTGCAGCGCGGTGCAGCGAGCACACACCCCGGCCCGCGCCGCCCCGGGCTCGCCCATGAGGCCTCTGCCGGGGAGGAGGAAGACCCGAGGCATCTCCCTAGGGCTCTTCGCCCTCTGCCTGGCCGCAGCCCGCTGTCTGCAGAGTAAGCTCCGGGGGATGCCCCAGGTGCTGGGGGAGCGGGGATGGGTAGGGGAGTGCGTGCGGGTCCCGGGGTCTAGCAGCGACCCCCCTGGCCCTTGCCCACCTTGTCCGGCTGAGGGCGCGCGGTGAGCTCGGGCTGGCAGGCACCGCGCTGCTTCCTCATGGGGCTGGGCGCGGCCTGGAGACCCGGCGCCCGACCGTGGCGGGAGGGGCCGGGCAAAGCAGAGGCTACAGATCGAGGTGCCCCGGCCCACTTCGGGGCGCCAGCCCCACCCGGTGAGCCCGGCCTGCAGTTATCAGAGCCGGAAGGTGGCCCAGAGATAACCGGCTCCCAACCCTATGGCCGCCGCCTCTGCAACATTTTTTTCTTTTTCCTGGAATAACCAGATTGCAGTCCGTGCGCCGCCCCCTACTGTGGGGACCCACCATGGCCTTCCCAGGTCATCTCCCGGGAGAATAATCAGGCCTCCCTGATCAGTCAGACGAACCCACAGCAGCCTGCTCCCGTGAGAAAAAGGGTTCTGGGGCTTGGGTTGGGCGTTGTGGCCTGAAGCCCCCTGGCTGGAGGTGGTCCTCTCCACCAGCGCACTGAGCAGATTCACTTTGGATGGCCGGGACCGGAATCCCCAGCCTGGTGAGCCTGGATGTGAAGCATAGTCCCACAGGCTCTCTTGGACACAAATAACAGATCCTAGCACAGTTTTACTTTCTCATTTAATCATTACCATTCACATGCCCATCTTACAGATGGACCAGCTGAGGTTTAGAGAATGACAGAGCAGGGCCACTGGAGGTGAGAGGCCTCCTAGTAAGAGCCAGCATTTATTAAGCATTTATGCATTCACCATCCCTCAGACTTTACAAGACCCGTCTCATTTAGTCCTTAGGGCAACCCTAATAAACTACTCTTATTCCTGTTTCACAGGTGAGTAAACTGAAGCACAAAAATGTTATCAGCTGATTGTGGTGGCTCACGCCTGTATTCCCAGCATTTTGGGAGGCCGAGGCTGGCGGATTCCTTGAGTCCAGGAGTTCAAGACCAGTCTGGGCAACATGGCAAAACTGTCTGTAGTAAAAATATGAAAATATTAGCTGGGTGTGGTGGCCTCTGCCTGTAGGCCCACCTACTGGGGTTGGGGGACAGGGGAGCTGAGGTGGGAGGATCATGTGAGCCCAGAAGATTGAGGCTTCAGTGAGCCCTGATTGTGCCACTGCACTCTAGCCTGGGCAACAGAATGAGACCTTCTCCAAAACTAAAGAAAAAGAAAAGAAGAGAGAGAGAAAGAAAGAAATGTTATGTTACTTATACAAGGTGACTGAACGATCTAACAATTTTGACCTTTACACCCCTCTGACTAGAGCCCAGCTTCGGAGGTTGCAAATCTCAGAAACCCAGTAAGACAGAGGCGTGTTCCTCTGGCAGCTGTGGATCAAGAAATAGTTGTTAGTCTCGAGCAAGTGGATGGGTGTGTTCGTCATTGCAGTGGCTTTTTCTATTATTTCTCAAACCTTTAGCACTTGTTTCCAATCACCATACTTACACATCTGTTCAGATACCCATCATGCTTAGGGACCAGCCATTCGTGATAGTATATAATTCATTCATTCACTCACTCATTCATGCACCCTCTCCCTGCAGGAAGCAGGCCACAGTAGGTACCTAGGATATGGTGGTTCACAGTTTTGTTCTCAGGAAGCTCAGGCGTCATGGGGAAGACAGACAAGCAAACAAGAGGGGCAGACTTGCAATGGCAAGCCTTGAGAGGCAAGAGGTGCCATGTTCTGGGATCCCTAGTGTCTCAGAATCCAGACTTGAGCAAACTTCCCCAAAACAGCCCTACTACCCATACCTGCCAGATGGGTAGGAGCAGTTGGGGGGACGGGACAAAGGGAATGCAGGGGGTCCCAGACAAAACAGCACATGTAAAACCTGGAGGCCAGGTAAAAGTTTGCAGTTTTCCATTGAGACCTGGCTCATGCACAGCAGTAGGCTCCAGGAGGGCAAGCACTCTGTTTCAACTCGGGGTCCCTAGCACTTACTTGCCCAGTGCTAGCCAGGGCCTGCCCCTTTAAAAGACGTTAAATGAATGTGTGCCTGCCTGAATGAAGCCTGTGCTTTGGAGCCAGCCATAATGGTAAAGAGTAGGCCTCCTCCTTCCTACCAGTTCCCTGCATTCTCTGCCTCTTCTGCCTGTGTCAAAAGCTTCATCCAGAACCTCTGATATTCACCATTTACCCTGAAGTCTGAGTTAAAGCACGCCAAACACCCTGCTTTTGAAACATTTCCCCTACAAATGTATGGGTCCTCCCAAGATTCGTATATTCAAGCCCTAACCTCCAATGTGATGGTATTTGGAGGAGGGGATTTAGGGAGGTGATTTGGTTTAGATGAGGTCATGAGGTGGGACCCCATATGGGATTAGTGTCTTTATAAGAAGAGGAAGAGAGACCAGAGCTCTCCCTCCCAGCTGTGTGAGGACACAGAGAAAATGAATATTAGCAAGCCAGGAAGAAGGCCCCCACCAAAAATTGGCACCTTGATCTTGAGTTTCCCAGCCTCTCCAGAGCTGTGAGAAATAACTGTGATTTAAGCCACATCAGTCTATGGTCATCTGTTACAGCAGCCCAAGCCGACTAGGACAAGGACTTATGGGCTCGGAAAGCTGACAGGCCTCTCCACCAGGCAAGGCACCTTTCTAGAACATTTGTTCATGTCCTTTCCCAGTACATTAGCCATCAGGCTCACGAGTACCCACCCAGTGCTCCCTCTCATTTGGAGGCACTGGATCCGAGACCACAGTAGGATGAGCATGGCTCACTGCAAGCTCTGCCTCCCGGGTTCACACCATTCTCCTGCCTCAGCCTCCCAAGTAGCTGGGACTACAGGTATGTGCCACCACGCCTGGCTAATATTTTTGTATTTTTAGTAGAGACAGGGTTTCACCGTGTTAGCCAGGATGGTCTCGATCTCATGAACTCGTGATCCGCCCACCTCAGTCAGAGATCATGCCACTGCACTCCAGCCTGGCAACAGAGTGAGACTCCGTCTCAAAAAAAAAAAAAATGCAATCATTCTGTACTGTTTACTCAGCAACTTAGCTTCTACACCAATTTTTTTTAGCTCTATCCATGTTGATAAAGGAAGTGTATTCCTTTCAACTTTTCTACATATGTCATCATATAAATATGCTGCTTTTTACTTATCCAGGCCCCATTGATGGACAATTAAGCTTTCAGCTTTTAGCCCTCACTCAGGGGAGAGAGACTCCTCATACAGGGTGATGTGTGCAGTGCTAGTGATGCGCACATCATATGGAAGAGGTGCCAGCTGCCTGGCTGATGGGCACCCCTGCACACATACCTCCTCCCCATCTCAGAAAATGCCTGAAAGACAAAACTGAAGCTGTTGGGGGGATAGAGTCAACCAGAAAGTCACACAAATGTCTTACTTCCTGATCTCCAAGAGCCTTCCTGAGTATGCTCCCTACTGGTCTGGAGCAGGGCAAGGGCCAGGAGACTGTCCTCTCCATTATCCCCAGGACCTAAGGACAACTATATCCCTTATCTGATGTAAGACTTTTTGAAAAAAAAAAAAAAAACTTTTACTATATCTAAAGTCAAGATTCATGTTATAAATCAATAGCTTTGGAGCTGGGCACGGTGGCACACACCTGCAGTCCCAGCTATGTGGGAGGCCGAGGTGGGAGGATCACTTGAGCTCAGGAGTTTGAGACCAGCCTGGGCAACATAGTGAGACCCTGTCTCTAAAACAAACTCATGAAAAGGGTTTACTACAATTTTTGTCGGCCTGGATTGAAGTTGAGTTCTTCCAAAGAGAATATGTGTTGCTTCTGCCAGTCATGGGAGGCATCCTGCCTAGCGAGTCAGAAAACGCTTCATGGAGCAGGCGAGGTTGAGTCTTGAAAGATGAGTAAGTGTGTACAGCAGGACAGGGTGGAGAAGAGAATTGCAGGCATACAGCAGGTGCTCAAAAAATAGGTGCACAATACCTCTGGGGACCTGGCAAGGGAAGAGGGAGTGGAAGCTGCCCTAACATGCACCCATGGGAACTTAGCCACTGCCCCACTCAGAGACCCCACTGAGGCTGGAGCCCCATTGTTTGTGCACTCAAGACGCTGGCTTCTCTGCACCTGGATTTTCCCTGCAAAATGGGCTTTGGGTTGGAAAGTAATTACTTATCCAGCAGGAATGAGAGTGGGAGGGACAGGGATTGATAAGTTTCAAGTTGGAAATGACTCGCCACTCCTGTAACTGGTTTGCTGTGCTGGGAAGGCACCCGTCATCGCTATAGGAAAAGGAAAAATGACACACTGGACAGTAAAAGGAGCACAGGACACTCTTCATCCATGCGTCCAGCTGGTCAAGGGAGCATACTAGCCTTTCTGTCTGCTGAGGCACACCCTTGGGCAGCTCAGGCCCGTGCCATGCTGACCCAGAGGAGCTGTGCTGCAGAGAATCCTCAGCTGACAGCGCCCATGCCAATCCCAGTGCTGTGTGTAAGCCCCGTATGTGGGGTCACCTTTCTCTGAGTATACACGGACCTTGTAAGATGCTCACATCCTGCTACAGACCAATTAGATCAGTCTCTCTGAGGGCAGGACCCAGACACTGTTGTGTTTTGCTTTTAAGCTCCTCAGTGGTTCCAATGTGTGGCCAGAGAAGTACTGCACTAGACTAGACCATTCCCCTCCATTAGTCTGATCATATGGAAACAGCTGGTTCAGCACATCTCCCGCCTACTGTTCTCAGAACACCCAACATTGTGTTGTAGAGTCTCACCTGTGTCTTTGTGGTTTTATCCTGGCAAACCTGAAAATACTTTCCCACCAGGCTGAGGGCAGGAGACAAGGCTGCCTTGCTGGGAAGTTAGGTTCAGCTCAATAAATGGTTCCTGAACACCCACTGTGCCTGGAACAGCTTCCCAAGAGCTGGGGTAGCAGTGGGGCCTTGCACTGAGGGATTGTAAGTCAAATCCTAAGC